GAGGAGGAGAGAGAGAGAGAGAGAAAGACGATGAAAGAGAAAGAAAAAGAGAGACTGAGCGACAATCAGATAGATAAATAAAGAACGAAATAACGAGAAAGAGAAAGAGAGAGAGAAAGAAATGAATATCGGCTTAAAAAATCTAGCAAGTTTAGATCGCGAAAGAGAGAAAGATTGAGAGAGAGAGAAAGAGAGAGAGTGAGGGTTAGAGGGAGAGGGAGTGAGAGAGAGGGCTAGGGGGAGAGAGAGAAAGGGCGAGAGAGAAAGACGAAGGAAGAGAAAAAAAGAGCGACTGAGCTACACTCGGTTTAAAAAATCTAGCCAGTTTAGATCGCGAACGAGAGGGAGAGAGAGAGAGAGAGAGAGTGAGTAAGAGAAAGAGAGCGTTTGATTGTTTTGCACCTGGAAAGTTAAAGCATGTAATCATTCCTTTATCCATTAATTTGTTTAGTTAGTCTAGTAGCATATTTTGGACGTATCGATCGTGAACTCTGGTCCAATGTGTGTGTGTGTGTGTGTGTGTGTGTTTGTATGTTGTTGTGTGTGTGTGGTAATCTGTTTAGTTAACTTGTTTTTCTTTTAATCCCCTAGACTACTGGCACATTAGAGTTATTTGGTTTTTTCCCTGGATAATTAGAGTTATATTCGCCCAAGACCAACTTTGAGTTGAAAGTGGAAGAGAGAAACGTGAAAATGATCAAATATTCAACGCTGATTTTCTGTCTGAGAATATGTAAATCTATCCACATTTTAATTGTTTTTTAAATATTTCTGGAGCAATAACTTACATATATTGTTTCGATCTCAGCTTGGAAAATTGATATTAGTCTTCTAGAGGTTTCGTTAGGTGAAAATTTTGATAATAATAAACATAATTTAGATGATATTTTGTAAATTTTGCAGTTGTCATTAACAAGGAACGTAAATATTGTCGTTTTGATTAAAATCGCACTACGCTACGTGACGTTTTTCTCTGGCATTTTTCTTCATTCGTGTTGTCCGGGTTTTTGCGTCCGCGCGCAAATTTCAATTAACAGGGACTGCCGGCAATTAAAATGTATCCGTCAACTGAGTAATAGCATAATTAATTTTATTTAGGCCCGTTACCGGGCGAAATGCATTTCTCAAATCAGTGCCCGCCAAGATTAGAAGCTACAGCTCCCTGAATTTACGACCGACAATAGAAATCCTTCAAATAGTTAACGGAGGCCAGAAACCACGTTTCAATCCAGATAAGTCTGGATGAACGATTAATAACATAATTATAACCGCTAATAATCAACAGTTTCAGAAAATTCATTAAAAACTATTAACAGCGAAATCCCAACAATTCAAATAAACTAATAGTTTCTTTCTTTCAATCAATTAATTTTTCTTTCTAAGGTCTTGGTTGAGATAAAAGATAGTATATAAATTATTATAAATCCATTTACGTTTTCGTGGTCAATTGATCAAGTTACTTCTTTCAATCAATTAATTATTCTTTCTAAGGTCTTGGTTGAGATAAAAAAGTCAGTGTCACGAGCAGGATTTCACCGTGAGAGGCCAATCAAATGGTAAAGTAGCGGCGTGTTTAGCAGAAGGTGGTGGGTTCGAATCCAGCTCGTGACACTGACTTTTTTTTATCTCAACCAAGACCTTAGAAAGAATAATTAATTGATTGAAAGAAGTAACTTTGTCAATTTACCACGAAAACGTAAATGGATTAATAATAATTTGTATACTACTGTCTTTTGAATATATTTTTCTGATATTCAAACTTTACAAATATATATTTGTTTATTTATCTCTTTTCCCTTCTCCAATATTCTGTTTTTTCCCCTTCCCTTTGTTTTGCCTGTTATTTTATGATGTACATGCGTTTAAATTTACTTTAATCAAAGGAGGGTCAAGTTTAGCCAAACGACTTTAATTCGTGATAGTTTACCCCCATTAATCTTTTTAAATTTCAAACTAATTAATTTCATGCTGTTATGTTATTTATATTTATTCGAGGAAAGATCAGATGCACGAGAGGGAAGTTTTTCCACCGTCTCTCAGTTCATATTTGCCTTTGCATTATAACGGGCTCGAGGTAAATTGAATTTGCATTTTATACTTCAAAGTGTTCATAATGATTCCGTTCATTATTGTACGGCTTCATTAAAATGGAGTTTATTATGCAGGTCCTCTTTGACACTAGTTTGACTTGATACGACTGAATTAGATGGGACAAAGTGGAAGGAAATTGAAGCCCTGTAAAAAATAAAAATAAACTCCACCAGTGGTCCTGAAGTCCACAGTTAAAATGTCATATATGGTTAGCAAAAGCATAATTAAAATTTAAAATACTATTATTAAAATCAAATTTTAATAAATAAAAACCTTTGATAAACAATTTCTAAGGGAAATGATTTTTTTAAAAAGAATTATTAATACAAGAGTGTTAAAATAACAATAGCCCGACTCATTTCGGACCTGAGCGAGATCATTGACGATGAAGTCCCCCTATAAAAATGCACCGTAAAAAATAATTCAATCCCGGGAGCCATGAAAATTTTATGCTTTGAAAGGGCGGTCCTTTTTAAGCACAATGGCTTTTTTACTACTACCTGGTGCGCTTTGTTTAGTAGTTCGGTCGCATGACTTTACCCCCCTCCCCACCAAATACACGAAGTTGGGTTGATAATCTTTTGATATCATGGGTTTCCTTTCATTATTGAAACGCCATGTTTGATTAAGCCGGTCATGGAGTTGTCAGTTCGTATGATTTGCGTGAATCCGTCTATTATACTGATACCTACTGAATTCAAATAAAAATGTGTAGTGATTAGTGACCGTTAATCGATATTTATTTAGAAATTGTGATATGCGGTCTGGTGTGATGTAGGTTTCAGAAAAACATTTTCTTTATTGTGCCAACGTTTCGATCTTTATTGAGATCATCTTCAGGGCTCAAAGTGTTTGTCTTCTGTGTAAGTGTGCCAGTCTTGCCAGCGGGCACTCTCGACACGACACGCAAGAATGGCAAAATTACACAGAAGACAAACACTTTGAGCCCTGAAGATGATCTCAATAAAGATCGAAACGTTGTCACGATAAAGAAAATGTTTTTCTGAAACCTACATCACACCAGACCGCATCTCACGATTTCTAAATAAATATCAAATGGACATATTAATCAAGTGAGATATTCGAAGAACATGCACAGATGCTTACAAGTGGGGCTTACTATATTAAAAAATAAAGAATTGAAGAATAGCTAGTTTAACTGCTAAATGTTTTATTAAAGAAATTTTATGTTTAAAAAATATCCCCCATCGTACTCATTACATACCTATTTAATTCTATTATTCGTATAACCTACTTCCTTTTAGCTTGAAAACATTCCTATATCCCTATCTTCTTAAACCAAAAATCCAACATATTGTACAACTTCATGTAGGCCTGTTTTGGGTAATTTTTTGAAATACTATCGAAAAAACTTCTTCCAATCCTAAATTGTCAAAATATAGTCCCCAACATCAATTTGGTTTTCGTAACTGTCACTCAACCATGCAACAATGCCATCGTGTGGTAGACATTATTTTTTCTCGTCTTGAGGTAGGGCAGTATTGTTCGGGAATCATTCTTGACGTAAGCCCTGCTTTTGATCACGTTTAGCACGGGGCTTGCTGTGCACGTTCAAAGGTATCCTTCTTGCATAATCTCGTACTGCACAGATACCTCAAGTACCGATTTTTCAGAATCATTGATGGTAAGTCTCTGTTTAAATATTTTCCCGTACATGCTGGGGTTCCTCAGGGTAGCGTTCTAGTTCCGCACTATACCAGGTGTACACAGCTGGCATACCATTACATCCTCACCACACTCATATTTGCTGACGATACACCAATAATTCGCTATAGTCCTATGACCCTGTCATTTCCACTTGAAACTTCCAACACTTCGCCCTACTAGAATTTTGGTGTGAAAAAAGAATAAAATTAACACAGACAATTCCAGCCACACTAGCCTTCACTCTAAAAAACGTCTATCCTCTCGTATAAATAATATTACTGTCCTAACTGCGGACTACGTTCCGTACATCGAGAAAGTCTTGAAGTGGACGAGCTTACACACGACTGAAACGTCAAGAAGTTATAACATACAGGTATTTTGCAAGTCACGTACTAATTTACTTCTCAAAAATAAGCGGTTGTTTCACAGCATGATAGATAAGCCTATATGGACTTACTGACCGGAATTGTGAGGTTCAGTCAAACAATCCAACAACCGCCACTTCCAAACTGTCAAATCCTTAATTTTACAAAAAAAAAAATCCCTGATGGTCCATTTTATTTATAGAACGAAATTACACATACAGAATTAAATATTTCTTTCGTTCAAGATGAGATCCACTACCATTATTGAAAAAAATAACAAAACCCTCTCAACGAAATCAGCACATTCAAAATCTGGCATCAAATACCCTCCAATCCTTCTCGCGACTGAAGAGACGATGACCTCGAAATCTTGTACGCAGTGATAAGAGAAGTGATATTGACACGAGTATTAATTAACCAGAAAACAATTTAGTATCATTGGAGTACTTCTAATGTGTACTTTCTCCACTCTTCCGGTCAATTTTGTGTGTATTCCCTGTCTAATCGTTACATGCTACCGAAAAAAAAGATGTCAGAGCTTATTCTCTCTCTCTCTCTCTCTCTCTCTCTCTCTCTCTCTCTCTCTCTCTCTATCACTCTCACTCTCTATCTTTCTCTCTCTCTATCACTCTCACTCTCTCTCTCACTCTCTCTTTCTCTATCACTCTCACTCTCTCTCTTTCTCTCTCTCTATCACTCTCACTCTCAACACCTTTTTTCTTCTTATCTATTATCTATTTTGCTAAAGCAGTTACATTTAAATTTTAGAAACAAATATTTAGACTGGCCACACATTTTTAGACGTTTTCTTACTACACTAGACGTATTCCAAATTAAGCCGTTTTGACAAAAGCATGTTAAATGAAAAATAACTACCTCATGGTGTTCTTCGTGGTGGCCACCTCCGTAGCCTCCTCCGCCACCTCCGGAGCTGTAGCTGCCGCCTCCCCCATGGCCGAAATCGCCACCCGAAGAATAGCTAGGATATCCTCCACCGAAATCACCACCTCCTGATGGCACGCCGTATGTCGTTCCGACACCTCCGCTGTAATCGGCGGCCGCGGATGCCATTAAAGCTCCCAAAAGTAAAATCTGAAAACATAATATATTTCTCAAGCCTGTTTTTGTTATGTACATAAAGTCAAATTGTTAAACTACTGTATGCCAGTCAGAGATTGGCAATTGTTGCCGAAGTATTAGTTTTCGTTTTGTTTTTCTGAATAGAGACCCGGTTCAACTCCTCGCGCTGCACTCGTAATTTTCTTCGTAAATGTGAAAATATACTATATGTTATTTTAAACACGCATCTCTCAAGAGATAATACATATAGATAGGTAAAATGAGCTTACAAATAGGTTCGTACTTCAAGTTTGATGAATTAAATAATTACACCACTTTATTTAATACCTGTCATACAATAACAATGTGAAAATTAATCTACCCTGAGATCAAGAATTTTTTTTAAAAATGTAGAGAAAAAATTGTTTAAACTTGATGTCAATGACCTTAAAACGTTTCTACTTTTTTAATTTATTTATGTAACAACAAAACAATGGAAAAAAGAAGAGCTTTAAATTATTACATCCGTGAATTTAAGATGAATAGAGAACACTCTTCTGGGTTTAAAGGGATCAAAAAGGGTTACGTAATCTATTTTGATAATTTAGTTCTCTTCGTTTTGATCGTTAATTGTGTTTGCTCAACTTTGATTGACAACTCAATTGTTCAAAAGCGTTTCTGAATTGATCGAGTCTTTGGCTTACAATAGATCGAGAAGTTGGGTATTTACTGATTATTTCAAATCATCCTAGTGTTTTGTGTCCGTCCATGATTTTACACACAAACGTTTGATCTAGGCCTTGTTCATCACTTCATCTTTTTGTGTGTCAAGAAATAGCCTCGTCTCATGACATACAGATCCAGCTACCCTCAGATTTGTTCAAATGCATGTTAAGTTTCTGTCTGATGTATTGTGTTGAGCTTGGGTTATTTGTTACAGAAGCTGTATGGTCACCATGAATGGTCGAAACACGACCTATTTGGGTCTTCCAAATCAAAATTTTAGCTCGTGTACAGAGCAAACCTCTTACCGAATGTGCTTTCTCCTAGAATGTCCTCACCAAACACATTACAAATTTTGCTATTTTCCCTTTTGCAGTAATCAAAAATGCACTTTGTTTTCCTCCTTTTTAAACTTAAAACAACTTTTAAAACTTATAAATCTCGAACAAAACTGACGATTGAAAGAACATAATTAATCTGCTGTAAAAGTTTTTTCAAATCAAAAGGCTAAAATGAATTATTGAAAAACGCCATGGATCTATTTTACAACCCAATAGTTTATATTAACAATCTGAAGGTCATAAATATAATTAAAAGCGAATAATTTTTGTTAACGTAGGCTTGAATATAATTCGCGTTGCTTCCTCACCCCGATGACCACACAGTGAAATATGATAATTTATGAGTTTATCTTCTTGTTGTCGATACCCTTATAAGTATATATAAGTATAACTGTATATTAAAAATAAAAAATAGCTAATTTGAATGAAATAAAATGAACCATCAGCTCCTTCGTCAAACTTTAAAGGGATCCTACAGTATCTAATTAATTATTGCCATTGTTAGCAAATATAAATGTATATACTTACCATATTAAAACTTATGGTTTCAAGTATGATAAATTTAAGAGTTTAGCTTAGTAGAAAGAACGAGTTCTATCACCCGCCAAATGTACGATACATTCCAAATGAAATACAACAGGGGTTACATTCCTCACAATGATTATTCAGAAATCATGAGATGCGGTCTGGTGTGACGTAGGTTTTGGAAAAACACATTTTCTTTATCGTGCTAACGTTTCGATCTTTATTGAGAATCCAGGGCACAAAGTGTTTGTTTTCTGTGTAATTGTGCCATTCTTGCGTGTCGTGTTGAGAGTGCAAAATGATGGAATTGGAAAAAAAAATATTTTTTGCTGTGGGGCCCATTTTTGATAGAATAATGTAACAATACAATTTGTTTGTAAATTTGCAGAATTTACAAATTAAACCGCGAGAACGACTTGGTGACCCCAAAAGCCGGATGCACCGAAGCTGAATATTCCAGTATGCAAATATGAAAGCTTGTCCGGAATTGACTTTCCCAGCGGGCAGCACGTTACCTCCAGCCGCTATCTCGACCATGCGCTGCTTAAATAGTTCTAGATTTCGTTACTTTCGGGTTTAAGGGACGGCGAAATAGGGAAAAAGCGGAGCGGATTCCGAATTGGTGCAGAATCAATTTCTCGTTATTACATGGAAGCATAAAAACATGGCATTAGGAGTGTTGCGTAATTGTCGCCCGCTAGGAACGGAACCTATATTATATCCGGGCGACTGGGTAAATAACTTTTGAGTTAATGAGTAAAATCGTGTCGGGAATTTTAATAATCCAAATTTCGTGTAATTAGCGGTCGGAATACGTGACGGAATTATTATGGAAAGCAGAACGCCCTGTGATTTATTTATTAGATAATTTTTGTATCTCTAACGTTGCATCTCTGCTGTCGGATACACCAAAAAAGAAAATGACAATGAGAAACATTCCTGGTGGCATTAACTACATTATTATTTGTATAATATGAACTTCATTATTATTACATTGTCTATTTTCAATGGCTAAAAATGGTATAAGTTGTAAATAATGCAAATAATTTGCAAATTTAGAAAAGCTTAAAATTACATTGTCGACAAGTGAAGTTACTCCCAAATCATTTTTATTTTCATCAAACATATTATGTAACAAATAAATATTTGTTTTGACTTGGTAATAGTTTATTTATGTGTAAATGTTGCACGCATTAGATATTCCTGTACATTTTAGCCACTTCTTTTCTGGTCGACTAAAATTTTGTTTAGTTAAAAAAAAAATTAAAGCTACTATGGTATTAGACAATACACTTTTATATTTTGTTTTAAGTGAAAACAGTTAACCTTATTGTATTTCCTATCCTAGCTGTATTTGTCTTAAAGATGAGTCAATTTTTTTGCTAAGTTCTCTTGTATGCCTCACACTTTGTTTAACCCAAATACACAACAGAATATGGCAAAATGCTGACACGCGCCTCACAGATGAAAACAACAAGGAGAGGAAATTCAAAATTATCAGAAAACAACCAAGCTGAGTGGGTTCAAAACCCCGTAGACCATAAAGAACAAACGGCACCGATATGTAGTTCCTAGTAGTAGGTTCATACATTATAAAAAGAAAAAGGTAAAATAAAGAAAAACAATGAAAAATGTAAGATATTAAGATCTTTTTCATTTGCTACGATTACAGTCGATTATTCATATTTTCGATTTGAATCTTCATAAAGAATATTCTTTCAATTAATCAATCTTTATTTAAGGTATTTGTTGATAAGAAAAGGTTAGTGTCACGAGCGGGATTCGAACCCACGATCTTCGGCTAAATACGCCGCTGCTCTACACTTGAGCTATTGTGATTTTGATCCACTCGGACACCAACTTCTCATCTCAACCTACCTTTCGTATTTTCCCTCCTTTTTTGCCATTTTTCATTTCAACCAATGCCTTAAATAAAGATTAATTAATTGAAAGAAATTACTTGGTCAATCGGACCACGAAATATAATGGACTTATTAAAGAATATTGTGGAAAAGTAACAAAATTGCTTCTCAACTCTTTCATTTTTTTTCTTTGTCACGGCAATTAATTTAGTAATTTAAAAATATCATCTTCATTTGCAATTCTTTTATAAAACACAATTCAAACGACGATTTTTAAAATTAGTGATTACCGGGAATGAAAAATGGGGATTTTAAAACAATGTTCAGAGAGAAATATCTTGATGAAAACACAGTGACCCACCGTCCTCAACTCCAAAATCCGGATTACAGCTCATGAATGTAATGTCGTAAATTTTGAGGCATGGGAAGAAGGTGGTTAATTTTGAGCTTCTTTTGCCCAACCAAACCGTTAACTTTAGTTCGGACTGCATTCGATTGGAGAGATTAATTCATTTGACCGGCATTGGCTAATCACATTTTGGTAGTTTTTTTACCATCTTGTCATCATACTGAGATGTGCTCCTTATTAACTATAAAAAAATTCACTTACTGGTGGACTTCAGAAAACACATCGCACAGGTTAACGGCAGAAAATGTTATGGGAGTAGTTACAAAATTATATAATATGTAGTGGAAAAAATTGTTCACGTATTGTTGATTAATTTGTTTACAACTGACATTTTTATTGACGGACTTATTTAATCCCCCCCCCCCGTATTATACCAAGAAGAAATTATATTCGTCAATGATTGAACCTTAACGTGATTGAAATTAACTTCTCTTCACCCAGACACCGAAGTTCAATATTTTGAATGTAGTTTTGTTTAGATAATTGCCTGATATCAATGAAACATTCGTAATTTGTATTAATGAAAGAGTGCAATTTTTACCGGCCTATGCGGGTTTTCCTTTATACTTTATTATTTACACGTTACCTTGTTAACGCGAAGGTCAACAAACAAAAGGACCGAAGGGACGTAGATAAACTTTCCTCTTCAAGAAATCAGACTGATCTTTTTAAAAATAACATTTTACTATTACTTTTGTTTGTAGTTTAAAATTTTTCAACTGTATACATAATAACCCAAACGTTTTCGGACTTCTGTATGACATAAAGTACTTGACTTTAATCATTTATTATTCGGAGATCGTGAGATGCGGTCTGGTTTGACGTAGGTTTTAGAAAAACATTTTCTTTATTGTGCCAACGTTTCGATCTTTATTGAGATCATCTTCAGGGCCTAGGATTTATAAACATTGTTTAAATTTTACAATGTAATGAATTTCATTTTTTTAATTTAAAATTTTCTAGCATTGTATAAACTCTTTTTTTATTTAAAATTGTCTAGCATTGTATAAACTCATTTTTTTATCTAAAGTTTTCTAGCATTATATAAATTCCATTTGTTTTAATCTAAAATTTTCTAGCATTGTATTAATTCCTGTTTTTTAATCTAAATTTTCTAGCATTGTATAAATTCATTTTTTCACATCCAACATGTATTTGTAACATTTAAACAATGTTTATAAATCCCAGGCCCTGAAGATGATCTCAATAAAGATCGAAACGTTGACACGATAAAGAAAAATTTTTCTAAAACCTACGTCACACCAGAGCGAGTCTCCAAATATTCATAAAATTAAACCTTATGGTGCTTCTTGGTAAATATCTACGAAGTGCATTATCCATTTAATATTGATAAGAAATTTTTATTTTCGTTTCATAACGGTTATTGTTTTGAGAAAGGCAGAGTTAAAAAAATATTTTAAATATTTTAAAAATTATTTGTGCGTATAAGAGAAAGTATTTTTTCAAATATTTCCTTTCTCTAGTTTGAGTTATAAACAAAAAAAAATTATCAGGAAAACACTATCATCTCTGTTGTTACAGTTGGCGGCTACGATAAACAGGAATAGTCGCAATTTTCCGTCAAGCAGCTCTCCTGATATGGCTTGGTCCGGTTGAAATGCCAGGCAATTTCAACAATTCCAGTACTGCCGGGGCATATCGATCCTAATGAAATTTCCATATCCGCATAAATTCATTATAATCGGTAATCAGAATGCGATTTACAATATGCATGCGACTGATGAACATTAACGCAAACGGTGAACTTTGTTTTTCTAGGGTTTTCAGTTGAGGGAGGTACAGCATCTGGAAGACAACAATTTGCACTAGTTGTTTTTGTAACAGCTCAGTGTAAAACATGAATTTCACCTAATATATTATTAAATTGTTTAGTTAAATTTGCAACTTGGTATTCAAAGAATCAGGGATAAAGAACATTTGAAAGAAAGAAAAACAATCAATTCCTTCATCAGCCTTTCTGAAAGATACATTTATTTTATCAGAACTTTGAAAATGTTTTGCTTCAACCATAATTTTTAATATTGTGAGAAAATATGTTTATATTTTTAACCGTGTAAATCATTAGAAATCATCAATATCCTGATGAAGGGAATATGTCCTTCCAAAGCTTGACAAACAAACTGATAGTAGTTGACATACTTTGAAATTCGTCAAATATCTATTTCTTTTTTTTAATGTTATTTATACTTTACTAGTTTTCGTGGTCCGCTTGACGTTATGTATACTATTATAATATTAAAACTGGTATCAATTACATGAAGATATGCTTAAAACTGTTCAAAAAATTTAACTGGTTCCATAATTAACTACCTGTTAATTATGACAACCAGACCCATATTGCAAACGTTGAAAACATAATATATACACATATACCAGATGGAATAATATGCGTTTAGAACTAGATTGCTGATTTTTAATAATATATTTTTTGTTAAACGCCGAATGAGATACATATAAAGACAGATAGATAGAGATAGAGGGACAGAGAGAAGTATATAGAGTGGGAATAAAAGATGTTCAGACTGCCACTCCGACAAATAAATAGATAATTTTAGAAAGAATTATTAATAAAAGTGATAGAAATGTAACAATAAATGAATTTTTTATAAGAGTGAAGGAGATAACAGAAACAGCAATAAATACATAATTTGTAAAAGCAAAGCAGAAAGATGAAGGAGATATAGAAAGAGAGCAAGAAAAAGAGTGAGTGAGAGAGATAGTATATATGAGAGAGAGAGAGAGAGAGAGTGAGAGAGGGGGGGAGAGACAGGCAGAGAGATAGAGAAAGAAAGTGAGAGATAGAAAGACAAAGTGAGATAGAGAAAAGAGAGATAGATAGATAAATAGATAGATAGATAGATAGATAGATAGATAGATAGATAGAGATAGAGAGAGAGAGAGAGAGAGAGAGTGATAGAGTGAGTGGGGGGAGACAGAGAGGTACAATGAGAAAATAAGAATTTTTTCTGGAGATGCCACATTTCCAAATTTCAAATTTCTCTCTGTTAAAATTGAACAGCTTTAATTTTTGTTTTATATTTATTAAGTGTAACCCCTAAAATACTTCATATTTACGTGCGAAAATTTGTAATATGTGCAACATACATGCAAACCTAACTAAATTGATTACGATTGATTGATCCATGAACCCGTGGATCTTAGCTCATTATTATTCTCGTCATTCGGTCTAGACAGTTAATACCACTTTACGTACAATACTCCTTGATTAACTAATTTAGATCAATTAATTAATCAACAATTGAATTGAATATCATAAAATATTAATGTTAAATTGTCATGGAAATACAATTATTTGACCAATTTTGTACATGTGTAAAAAATATTTATTATTTAAAACATTATTTTAATTTTAATACGGAAGTGTAATTGAGTTTTTGTAGTTTGATGGATTAAATGTTTTTTTAAAATTATTGTCTATTTAATCATAACTTGTAATAACTTCATTATTTATTTAGTAATTTATCTTATTATAACAAATTATAAAGAATTTTTATTGTCTGCACAAATACAAATAATATAGTGTAGGAGGTTATTTCATAAAAAAGAACGATGTGCACAAAATTTGACTGGACTAATGGAAGTTCAAAAGTTGGTCAGCAAATTTAGCGAAAATGTTTGTTTAAGAATCAAGCATGAACACACGATGTTCAATTCTGTACAAAATTAGTTTAAGAACTAATTATGATTAGCATATGAGATAGTTCAATGCCTATTCAAATACTATGTTCAATCAATATAAAATATTCACATAAATTGTACACTTTCCTCACACAAAAAAAAAATAAAAAAAAATATATATATATATNTATATACGTATATTTTTTTTTTTTACAACAAAAAATTTAAGGGCAAAGACAGCAGTAGAAACTATAGCACCAGCGGATTGCAAGTAATAAAGAAATTAAAAGAACACCCTTAACGAACGTTTTCTAAATAGAATGCATTTTTTTGTTTATGAAACAGTTACGTTACGAGTATCTTGAGAGCGAAACGTACCATTACACTTATGCCTGTAATTAGCATAACTGACTAAATACATCCTTATGTAGTTTTTTTACGTAAAAACAATATAAAGGCCCTGATTTAATTTCCTCGTCCAGCTTGATGAATTTCACATTTGTTTTTTTTTTAATTAGAAGCATGGGAAGCATAATTTATTGTAGGACAATGATCGATAAACGAAAGATTTATCTGAAAAGCTCACGGCCTGCAGAGATAATACTTAAACAAGAAATATTGATGGAATGAATTTTTTTTTGCACCAATGTTTTCGTATAAATTCAACTGCAGAATAATATATGATTTCTATTGATTTTCAGTGATCGTTGGCATGCGATTATGGTTATCTTGTAAATATAAACAAACAAAACTCCAATGAAGGAATTAACTTTACTATCTGTGAAAATAATCCTAAACCTTCATTCTTGGTATTTTTCTGTCTAAAAAGACTAATTGATTTATTCAACTAATTCACATCTTTTATATGTATGTTCCAACTACACTTACGATAGTTTTTTAAGTATAGATTTTTTTTATATAAACCTCACACGCGCATAATATCCATATTATGTACAGAAGCCAGTGATTAGCTGATTGTTATCGAAAAACGAAAATTTCTAATAACAGATTTACGATGAAGAAATAAACTAAAATTAAAAAATCCGTATTTTCCTCTCTTGGAGAAGAGGCGGATCGAAGTATTTTTGGTTAGGACGACGTGACCGAGTGTATGTATGTTTGCGTGCTTAGGTTACTTTTCAGCCTAATTAAGACAGTACCGAAAGTACATTACTTAAACTTTAAACCTTTTAACCACAAAGACCATTTTACGAAAATTCAGGTTGACAAGTGAAAATAGTTTCTGCGACTGGCAAAGATGGAAACAGAAATTTTGCTTTTTTGATTAAATTACTTGCATAGAAAAGTTCACCTTAAAACTTTAGACACAAACAAATGTTTAAATTTATTAAATATATATATTAAATATTTCTGGAGGAAAAAAGGATGATGAGATGACATCAGATGAAGTTTTTGTCGTTAACAAAAAAAAAAAAAAAAAAAAACATGCGTTGGAAGACTTGTAGAACTTTGTTTTCCATGTTCGTATTGAAATGTAACAAGCTCATACTTTAAGGGGTAAATGGAAAATGTGTTTGGTAGCGTGTCTAATCAAAAGAGGTGTTCAACCATGGATCATTCACTCGTAAGCTCTAAAGCGATGTCGATCGTTTAATCCCACATCGTGTTGATTCAGTCCGGGGTTAAAGCCGATGCACATAAAGTCAAAACGAAACAGATAAAATGTAAAAGAAATGTTTTCCACACTATTTACCTTGACGTGTGCCATGTCCGAGGTGGAAACGAGAATCTGCGAGCTGGAAAGTCCCCCGGTAGGACTATATACTCGGTTGGAAGGGGTGGGACGAAGAGGGGCGATCTGCCGACACCAGAGATCGGCCGAAATAATTAATTTCCGCTGAAGATCCATCCCCTCTGCCTCGATTGCAAAAGATCCTCCCTAATCGTCGGATTACGCAGCCGGCCGCGATCTTCTCCTCACTCTAATTTCTCAGGAGTTGCCTCAGTGAAGGCCCATTGCCGCTAATTGCAATTGTTTCCCATCGTAATGACCGCGACTCTCTTCCCAAACATTGACATGATACGGATTACCGCTGGTATCTGTTGTAATATTCTCCCATCGGAATGATTCACATGTATCCTTTAATTGAATACTTACACAAGGAATGTGGAGTATATTCGGAAACCTTCGTTTCCTACAATTAAACTATCCAATTTTAGAACAGGCATTTCACAAAAATTACCCTGTTAAGTCAATGAAATCTATACTTGGGTCTTTATCATCTAAATAATAAAACTTAAAAAACTTCATGAACGTAATTTCTAGATAGAATATAAAAAACAGACATTTAAGAAGGTATATCGAGAAGTAATCAGATATTGAAATATTCTATAATCAATAATTAGATATTGGGTGAAAACCCATACTTACATTTTGCCAATCACACGACTTAAAACAGTTATTTTTTGTTTTCTTACCCAAAAATCTAAACGCTATATAGTCTTACAACACTTACAATATATTGCGTTGCACGTATTCTCCATATATTTATTTTTAAATTCACTAGTTTTCGTGGCCCGTATGACCAAATAATATATTTCAATTAATTAATCTTTATGTAAGGTATTAGTTGAGATTAAAAAGTTAGTGTCACAAGCGGGATTCGAAGTCACGATAGATAGCTCAAGTGGTAGAACAGCGGCGTATTTAGCCGAAGGTCGTGGGTTCGAATCGCGCTCGTGACACTGAATTTTTATATCAACCAATACCTTATATAAAGATTAATTAATTGAAAGGAGTTATTTGGTCAATCGGACCACGAAATCTAAAGGATTTAATACAAATTAAAACTATTTTTACCCCAGGCCTGTTATCTGATTATACAATCATACCTGATGGAGCAATTTTTTTCTGTAAATCAGGGATCTGAGACTTCTGAGAACGAAGACGTGCTTGTAGGAGTGCCACAAGTGTCAATACTTGCTCCGCAATTTTTACTTCTGATGTGCCTACAAATTAGAATGCGCTTACATACTGCAGATGACACGGCCATATTAATAGTTATTTCTGTTAATTCCTTTGTCTCTTATGAAAACTTTTAATGCTGCTTCATCGTCTATAGTCTCGCTTTGGTGAAGTATTCGGAAGAATTAATGGGAATAAAACTGTATATACTAAATTGTGGCGATTACAAATTTCAATAACTTTAAAGAAAATTAGAATCTACAGCTGTTAGCATGTTATGAAAAGAATGATTTCAATTTAAAATCTAGAGTACAGATCTTTTCAAATAAAATATTAAACTTCTTCTAATAAAACATATTCAATGTACACACATGGAAGCCTAGATGAAGGTCGAGTTTGTGCGACCTTCCACGGAAATGGCTGCCCATCACACCTTCCATGCTTTCCCCTGAGTGAAAATGTTGCTGGGATATATCGCTCACCAGTTCTTCTTCAAACCCTCTCACTGCCATCAGAGAATCCGAAAACATGATTTTAGTCTAATCTTGCTGTGACAATTGATGTGATTTATTGCGAAACTTAACCGAGCTGTTCTGTGCCCTGACAGCCAGGCCTTCTCGGACGTAATCCAGCTTCTGAAGGCATCGTCTTAAAATGCGTTAATTGACATTAACAGTTTTAATTTGTTGAAATTGTTCCTTGATCTCAACAGCGATAAAATGTCGATTACGGAGTACATTCGAAACAATAAAACGATCATCTCCCTGAGGTCACGATGACGACGTGTTTGATGCCTTCTTGGGTCACCTCCAGTATCTTGGTAGCAATGGAAGGCCGTTCAAGAAATGTATAGTAGCCTAGCCACATACGCTTGACTTCTTTCATCTTCCAACAATGCTATGGTTCTAGCCGAATCTGTATCACTTAAAACCAACACTCAAAGAAATTTGTAACGCTAAAAAAGAAGCATTACACAAAAATCAACAAAGAAGAGATTGGCTATTCAAAAATTTATTTACAAAATCTAATTGTAATCCTATATCCTCGGGGTGCCGGTGTTTTTGAAAAAAAAACCATTTGTAAGTATGTCGGGTTCGAATGCAGGGCCGCTGGATTGGAACCCGGGCCCTTTACCTTTCAGTGATGAGCGTCTTGTCAACGCCTAAACCGTTGCGGCCACCGACGCCCACCAAGTATTGTTGTAAGATAATCACTGGAGTACGAACTAAGAGGTTATTAAAAATGTTAAGGGTGGCTACTTTTTTGCCTGTCAGTGTATTTACTATATTAGATCTTTATTAAGTTCATAAACTGAAAAAAAAATACTACAACTCTTCGTATAATAGTCATTAATACGCTCTCGAGGCGGTGCGGACCGGGGAGGGTTCAGCCTTCTTCGTATGTACCGACTCTCTGAGCGCTGTCTGGGCTATACGCGACAGGTTGTCTGTGGACCCTCTCGTCGTTCTCTTGTTAGAGAAATACGCGGAGCTGGAGCCTCTCGGAAAAACGGTGGTTGTTGTCTGGATTCCCGGACACGTCGGCCTGGAGGGTAACGAACGCGCGGACGAGGCGGCGAAAGCCGGTACGTCTCTCCCTCCAGATCGGACCGTCGCGATCAGGCCCCCTGACGCTAAACACGCAGTTAAAAATATTATAAAAAAAAGATGGCAGCGTCAGTGGGCGGGGTCGTCGGAGAGGCTCTTGCGAGTCAAGAGCACGACCGGTAGATGACCCTCAGAGAATCTGAGCAGGAGACGAGGGATCGTCCTCACCCGACTGAGGATTAGCCATACTCGGTTGACACATGAGCACCTGCTTTTGGGCCAAAGCCCGCGCAGGTGCCCCTTATGCAGAGAAAGGTTGCTCGATGTGTCCCACATAATAGAGGCGTGTCATGCCTTAGCTCCATACAGAGAGCGTGTAGGCATACCGCCGGATTTAAGAAGAGTCCTCGAGCACAATAGCGAGCTTCAGAGTCCCCTGTTCCGCTTTTTAGGGGAAATTGGGGTTTTTTATTGTATATAGTATGTCTTATGTGTTATGTGTCTATATGTTTTGTCTGTGTGCATGTATTTATTAGCGTGAATGGCGAGGGGTGAGGGTGAATATAACGTCATCATCGCCTCTCGAACGATGAAAGCGAGTGAGAGTGTGTTCGGGGTCAATGGCGGAATATTTATAAAAGTACCCCATCGACCCCAATCTAGTTTAGTTTAAGTATAGGTCGGTGGAGGAATATCAAGTACTCCACCGACCAAACGGAATGAGTGTACTGTATGGATGTATTTAAGTGTATGAATTATTTATTTGTATGAATGTTGTGTTTGAACGGGTATAGAATATAGAATATAGACTTAGTGGGGGGCTGAAATGACCTAGAAGTCGGAAGACCCAGCAAAAAAAAGAAAAATTTGTCATTAATGAAAACCACTTATATTGTATAATTGGTTATATGGAACTACTCTTTTTTTCTTGTAAATTAAAGCTGTTTAAATTAGAAAAGCTAGATACAATTGATATCGGCTTTTAATGTTATATTTTTTATTGAAAAATTAGTAATGAGGGCAAATTGAAAGAAGAGAAAAACACTGTTACTTCATCAAGCTTTCAAGGAATATATTCCCTTCATCAGACGTTTATTCTTAATAATTCGCAGGATGAACAAATATGAAATACTACTTACAGTATTGATACTTCCAACATGTTTTCCAAGTTTTAATATTGTAAGAAAATTTTCATATAATAAGTTAACCTTGTGATAGATTAATGACAGTACCTTTACATTTCTTTGCCAATTGGGCTTATCCCTGAATTTAAATAAAAATTGTTAAAAAAATGAAATGTAAGTTGAAAGGATAGACAAAAAAATTAAATAATAATACAAGCAAGGGTAATTTGATTATGAATAGTGGTTTACTGTTAAATACATTTGCTTAAAATTGAAACAGCATTGTTTTCTTTTATGAGATTGTTATGAAACTGGACGGGTTGATTGTTCATAAAATTTATAGACAATAGTAAACGAAATGTCATTAAAAAATCCTTTTTCATCGTTTAAGTAGTGAATCATTGTAAACCCTTTGCTATTATACATTATGTTAAACAGTTTTATGAGACATTAAATAATAATTACGTAAATAGTTCAAATATACTCGATGCGCGATGTACTCTGTTTTTATAATTAAAATCATAGTTTATGTAAACAGTAACGTACGCATTTTATGTTCAAATGCAAAATGTACCACCTGTAAAAATATTTTTATATTTTTACCCTCCCTCTCACTCTCCCTCTTGCTCTCTTTCTCTTTATTTTTACCTTTATATTTAAAGATCTTTTTGTCAGATTTATTGTCAATATTTAAAACGGTTATACAATTAAAAGTAAGTCAAGCGTTGAATATATCGTAAAAACAAATACCGGAGACGTATATACTATGGTTTAAAATCTTCCATAGATATACAGTGATGAAGAGTTTACATTAACCTCTCCATCTATATGTAGATTAATTACAGTTCTGGTGATTAAACGGCAAGTTATATATACGTGATTTCTTCTATTTCCGAAAGTAGAGAGTTTAACAGGTTGCAATCAAGGAAGAGTTCGTCCGGCAAATGTACTACTAAACCGACAACCTAATTTTTCCACATTACAGGTGTCAGTCGAAGCTCGACGCAACAGGCTATTTGCCGTTAATGATTAATAGCTTCAGAAAACCATTAGACATGTTTTTAAGGTTTTTAAGCTTAAATATGAAAATACTTGATATACGTATAGTTCGTGGTCCGATTGACCAATTAACTTTTTTCAATTAATTGATATTTATGAAATGTATATAACCTACGACACTAACTTCCCACCTCAACCTCACCTCTCGAATTTTCCCTCCTTTTGGTAGAGTAGCGCATTTAGCAGCTA